TTATTTTATTTTCTAACTTTTTTAAATTTTTTACAATATACTAGTTTATCTTTAAAAAAAAATATTAATAATATAAAATAATAATTTATTATTGTAATTAAGTTGATATTACAAATACAATTATTATTACTTTTATTAATTTAATTTAATTTTATTTATATTATTGAGAATATATATAATTATCTACTTTTGTATTATATAAATAACATTGAATTCAATATATTTTAATATTTATTATTAATATATAATAAACAGTATTGGCAAAATTATGCTCCATTAATAATTATTACATTCTTTTTATTATATTATTTACTATAGATGTGATAAATAATATAATAAAAAGAATGTAACAATTATCAATGGAATATAATTTTGCCAACATTGATAATAAATATATCAAGTTACTGTATTATATAAAACTCAACTATTTTTCTTATAACAATATAAATGTTTAATAAAAAAAGTTTATAATTAAAATTTTTTTGGATATTATTAAGACTTTTAATAATACTATTTTAATATCATTTCAATACTAACTTGATATTTAAATTTACTATAAATTTATATAAGCAAATTATAATTTATATATTAAATTTATTAAAGAACAATCTTTTAATACCATTTCAATATTAATTTGATATTTTTTAAAGCCTTAGATATTACAAAAAAAAATATTGCAAGCAATGGACTCTGGATTATCAAAAATAAAATATAATATATAGAATAATTTGTAAAATAATATATACTGTATATACTAATTGTAAAAATTCTTAAAAATATTATTTAATATTATACAAATATTAATAAATATAAATGTTTGGTTACATTTGATGTTTTTTTAAAAAAATGCATATACAGTATCTATATTAAGCCCAATTTTTAAAAATATATATAGGGCGTGTCACAATTTTTTGAAAAATTTTTTAAATTAAAATACAAATTATTAAAAAAAATACAAGATAATATATTTTAAACTATATAAATATAAAATAACAGTTTTAATAAATCTTATTTATATATTTTTAAAATTTTTAATATAAATTTTTCGATAAATATTAAATTTAAAAGATTGACTTTTACTTATAAAATTATTCGAAAATAAATTTATATTATTTAAATTAATATATATATTAGATTTCAATTAATGATTATTGGGGAAATTCAATTCAAAGATGGTTTGATTAATATTTTATATTTAGCATTTAGTATTTGAGTAAATTTATATCAAAGATGTTTTAATTGATGAGTTATATATTTTATTTTTAGTTGTAAGCATATTTTATTAATATTTGGTAAGTAAATTCACATAAAAGGTGTTTTAATTAATCCATATTTTATTTTTTGTTTTTAGCATGTAAGTGCATTTATACAATTGTTAAGTGAATTTAATTCAAAGAGTTTTTACTTTTAGCGGTAAGCATATTTTTATTAATATTTATTGCATAAATTCATATCAAAGTTTTTTTAATAGATTAGAGTTATATCATTCATTTTTTAGCGAATTAGGCATAATTATTTAGTAAATTTATATCAAAGGTGTTTTAAGTAATCCAGATTATATCTTTGTTTTTAGCGGAAAGTATATCTTCATTAATATTTGTTAAGTGAACTCACATCAAAGATATATTAATTGATTAGATTTATATTCTTTCATCAAGCAAATTTATATCAAAAGTGTTTGATCGATCTGAATTATATTCTTTATTTCTAGAACGTAAGCGCATTTTCTATTAATATTTATTGAGTGAATTCAATTAAAAGAGTTTTGATTGATCTGAATTATATTCTTTACTTTTAGAGATAAGCGTATTTTATTAATATTTGTTGAGTAAATTCATATCAAAGATTTTTAATAGCTTCGAGTTATATTATTTATTTTTAGCAGTAAGCAAATTTCTATCAATATTTATTGAGTGATTCAATTAAGAGTTTTGATTGATCTGAATTATATTCTTCACTTTTAGTGGTAAGTATATTTTTATTAATTATTTGTTGAATAAATTCATATCAAAGTTTTTTAATAGATTTGGATTATATTATTTATTTTTAGCAGATAAGCATAACTCTTTATATTTGTTGAGCAAATTCATATCAGATATTTCAACTGGTACAGGTTGTCTTTATTTAGCGGAAAGTATATGTCATTAGTATTTGTTGAGTGAATTCCTGTCAAAGGTGTTTAACTAATCCAAGTTATATATTTAATTTTAGCAGAAATGATAATATTGGTTTAGTGAATTCATATTAAAGAAGTATTAATTGATCTGAGTTAAATTCTTTATTTTTAGTGGTAAGCATAGTTTTATTAATATTTGTTGAGTAATTCATATCAAGTGTTCTAATTGATTCGGGTTATATATTATATTTTTAGCGTGTAAGCGCGTTTCTATCAATGTTTGTTGAGTGAATTCCATTTAAAGATGGTTTAATTGATCTGAGTTATATTCTTTATTTTTAGTAGTAAGCATATTTTTATTAATAGTTGTTAATTAAATTCTTATTGAAGGTGTTTTAATTGATCCGAGTTGTATTTTTTATTTTTAGCATGTAAGCACAAATTAGAATCATAGGTGTTTTAATTAATCAGAGTTGTGTTATTTAATATTGTGAGTAAACATATATTTGTTAATATTATACCAAAAGTATTTTAATTGATCTGAATTATACCTTTACTTTTAGTGGATAAGTATACTTTCAGTAATATTTGCTAAGTAAATTCATATCAAAGATGTTTTAATTGATCCGAGTTACATTCTTTATTTTTAGCATGTAAGCACATCTATCAATTTTTGTTAAGGGAATTCGAATCAAAGGTGTTTTAATTGATTTGAGTTATATTATTTGCTTTTGATATTTATTGAGTTGATTCATATCAAATGTGTTTAAACTAATCCGAGTTATATTTATTTTCAGCGGAAGCATATCTTCATTAGTATTTGTTAAGAAAAGTCAAATCAAAGATGTTTTGATCGATCTGAGTTATATTCTTTACTTTTAGCGTGTAAGTACATTATCATTAATTGTCCGAAGGACACTCTAATGTACAGCAATAGTAATCCGGATGTGTGTGTACCTTCCGATCACGTGATACATAATTGATAGCGACACATTAATTTAACGGAGTTTTTTATTATATAGTATAACTCTTTTACATTTAATGTTCTTGGAGTTGGATTTTTGGGTCACGATTACATGATGTATTTTCGCATCACGACAAAAATCTTTGGCATGATAGTGATCGATAGTCATGGTAGTGTGATTAGTGTGGGAAACTATACGATCGAGTATTTACTGTATAAGCTGATTTAAATGATAAAGGATGTAGAGGGAATAAAGGAATGCATAAATAGGGGATGTTGTTGAATGTGTCAGCGATAGTCCTTCGGACTTCGAATGGTTTCCATTTACCTAGTATTGAGTAAATTCATTTCGAGGTGATTGATCTGAATTTTTTTTTTTGAATTTTGATATCTTTATTAATATTATATCAAAGGTATTTTTAATTGATCTGAGTTATATTCTTTAATTTTAGTGTGTAAGCATATTTTCATTAATATTTGTTGAGTAAATTTATATCAAGGATATTCTAATAAATCTGGGTTATAGTGGTATTCTTACTTTTAATGAGTAAGCATATATTCATTGCTGTAGTATTTGTTGAATAAATTCATAACAAAGATGTTTGGCAGATCTGAGTTATATTTTTTATTTTTAGAGGGTAAGCATCTTTATTAGTATTTGTTGAGTAAATTCATATCAAAATTGTATTTATTATGCTTTTTACTTAACAGCGACTAAAGACTATAAACATATTTTTTTTGCATTAAAAGTATTTTATTTAAATTAAATTAAATTATTTAACTTTGGTCGGTACATTTTTATTGATATTTGTTAAGTGAAACCATTAAACTAATCAAGATATATTCTTCAAAAATTAAAGGCAGCAACATATTTTCATTATTTATTAGGTAAATCTATATCAAATGTTTTGATTAATTCTACTTTATACCGACAGTAAGCATTTTACATCAACATATGCTAAGTAAATTCATATTAATTTTGATAGTACGATATTCGGTTAATTAACTGATTTTCTAATTGCAACTCCTATTATAGTAATTGTGACATGAAAATCCGTTTCACTAAAAATAGCAAAATTATGCACACAAAGACTTTCCGATGTGCTCATTGTCTTAAGAGAATTAAGCTTCCATTGTTAAATTTCTATTTATGTATAATAACCACATGCATTACAATAAAATTTTTTTAAAAAAAATGATATCGTAATAAAGAAGTACGATCGCTTTCTTTATTAATTCAATTTTAAAGGGTTACGTTAGAATAAACATTTTAAAAAAACAATCTTCTAATATAAATATCATACTTGAATATTATTATAGTACGATAATTAGTATGCCTATATTTAGTTCCGAAGTTTTGATAATGTTATATAAACTTTTTGACGGTAACACTAATTCAGGCAATGTGTATAATAATAATTATGAAATAAACAAACCTGATCGTTTCAAATACATCGCCTTTTATTACATTCCATTATGCTACGATTTTATATAAATAGCAAAGATTCTTCTTCTTCAAATGGCAAATACCAATTTCTCTTTTCTATCAGACAAAACCATGTTGGTAAACATAATCAAATGCCTCATCTGTTTGTTTGGTTTATTTCCGGTCGTATTGGCAAGAATGCCAATTCATGATATGTTTCACTTTGGCATAAAAGAATATCTTCCCTATATCGTTACCACCATTGTTCTTTTATTTGTCTTTATTCCAATACCTCAACTTAAAAGGTTGAGAAGCGAAATCGCTTTTATGCTTGGCTTATTTACATCATTTATCTTTCCATCGATATTTTTTTATATAACACAAGGCTTGGATAAGCTTACCATAATTTCCATAATTATTGGTAGTTTACTCATTATATCTATTTTAACAATAAGAATAATTGATATAACAACAAATAATCCGTTATTAAAAAATTATGTCACTTTATTCTTTTTAATTCTCATACTTTCCATTTTGACACCATCCATATTATTCTCAATATTTGGCATCAACAAGGTGACCATTGTCGCATCAGCTTTAAATTGGTCCATACTTATTGCAATCTTGTTACCGTTAATATTTAAATCGGCCGCCATCATAATTACTCCAGTATCAAGCGTATTAATTTTTGCAATTTTTCTACCGTTATTCTTATTTGCGACGGATAGTTTTAATGAGATATCAATTTCCTATTTAATATTTATAGAAGCTACGATTTTCACAATCGCATTAGCAGTTCTTTTAAATTCTTGCTTTCCGAATTCTTCTATTATATGTTGTGTACTTACAATACCAATTCTATTAATATTCGCGTCATTTATTAGTGGTTTAGTATTTTCCATAAAGTCTTTGATTAAATATGGAATTCACTTTCACTTTGACTTTTCTATTCATACTATCTTAATTACAATTGCTAGCGAGGTAGTGACTGGTATTTTGTTTTTTACACGGGATACAGTGATCGGAAAAATATTAGGTTGCATTTTGAGCGGATTTGGTTTTTATTTTGTATTTTATAATTTGCAAGCACAAATAGATCCAATTTCACTTTTACTTTTCTGGGCAGATTTATGGACTACATTATCTGTAATTTATGTAATCATTGAAAAATGCATTAATGGAGATCATAGTGATAGTGGTGATGATGTAGAAGTTGATTTTAATGATTACTTAGCTTCTGATAGTTCTGATAGTTAGCATACACACGAGCTTTGTGTGCCAGATCATAAAAATACTTTTAATTCATATAATGACCGCATTTTTTGTACAAACTTATAATAAATTTAGTTAATTTTGGCATTAGTATATTGACTATTTTTGGATTGATCAACAAGATAAAAAGTATACTATTGTAACAGGGAGAAATGGGACGCGACTGTAGTCACGTGATCAATAGTCGTGACAATGGTAAGTCGGCTGTAAT